CATCGGGCCCCACATCAGGCTCCGGAGCCTGCTTTTCCCTCTCCCTCTGCCTGCCACTCCCCCTGCTTGTGCTCTCTCTGTCAAATGAATAAATAAAATCTTAAAAAAAAAAGTTATGACCTATAAGGAACAATTTTTTTTTTTTTTTTAAAGATTCAATTTGTTTGAGAGACAGAGACAAAGAGAGCACGAGCAGGGACTGGAGCAGAGGGAGAGGGACAAGAAAGGGACAAGCAGACTCCTCCATGTTGAGTGGGGAGCCTGACTCAGGACTCAATCCCAGAACCCTGAGATCATGACCTGAGCCCGGTCAGATGCTTAACCAAATGAGCCACCCAGGCGTCCCAGGAACAATTTTTAAAAATCACTGAGTGAGGGCGCCTGGGTGGCTCAGTCGTTAAGCGTCTGCCTTTGGCTCAGGTCATGATCCCAGGGTCCTGGGATCGAGTCCCACATCGGGCTTCCCGCTCTGCGGGAAGCCTGCTTCTCCCTCTCCCACTCCCCCTGCTTGTGTTGCTGCTCTCGCTATGTCTCTCTCTGTTAAATAAATAAAATCTTTAAAAAAAAAAAAAAAATCACTGAGTGAAAGGTGAGGACAGAAAGACCTGGAATTAAGTTCTAGTTCTGCAACTAGCTTTAATTCCCTCAAATGAAAAACAAAAACCAAAACCTATGCTGCCTCTGTCACAGATAATATTGAATTGCATGGAGTAGGAAAGAACTTTGAAATGTGTAAAGTATTATGTGAATATAGTATTTTCACTCTAATTCAAGCACTTCATCCTAGTGAGGTATTAACTACATTCTAACGTGGGCTCTGCTCTTGGCCCTCTGCTCAAACTTTACTGTTTCCCTGGGTTATTTCATTTACACTAAGTACCAACTACTTTAAAATCTCTATTACCGGTTTGACCTCTTCCCTGACTAATTTAATTGCCTCCTGAGCATTTTTAATTGAATATCCCATTAGCACCGAACACTCAACATTTTCCAATTTGAAATATCTCTTTAAATCCAGCCATCCTTGCAAAATCAGCTCCATCTCCTGCCATTCCTATTTCATTTTTATTTCAAAACATCTCCAATCTCCCAGTTCCCCAAGCTAGAAAGTTCTGAATGATCTGACTCATTTCTCCCCATCTCCCATATTAATATGCCAAGTCACATCAATTCCTCCCACATAGTAACTCAACACTCTTCTTTCATTCTCAATGCCCTCATTACCTTTCACCTATTATAATAGCCTTCTAACTGGTATTGACTCACTCTTTCCTCTATTCCAGTCAAATAATCTCTGCAAAACACATCTTCTTAAAATGAAAATTAATAGCACATGGTTGCCTAAAGAGTAAGACCCAAACTCCATAACCACACATAAAAAAAACATTCAATATCTAGCACCAACCTGTTTTTCCCATAGTTCACCATTCCCATACATGCATCACATGTGCCATACAGAACCGAATTTTCCCAAACATTCACTGTGCTTTCCCATTGTCCCTCCTTTGTGCATCCTATATTCTTGGCCTCAAAACTACTGACTCTCACAGTCCATATTTATTAAAATCTTACTCTTTCTCAAGACTCAGGGTAAATACCAGTTCTTTTTCAAAGTTTTCAATGATCCCCTAATATTGAGTGCAATCTCTCTCAACAAAACTTCTATAGTACTTGATTTGAATTTCTCTAATGACATGAATACACTCTGACTCACACTACAGTTATTTTTGTAAATAGTTCTTTAAAAGACAGTCTCCCATATGAGAGCAAAGATCTTGATATTGTTCACTGCTGTATGGCCAGCAACTAGAACAGTGCCTTATACACAGCAAGCATTCAAGTATATTAGCTAAGTGAATTTTAAAAAGCTGTATTTTAGGCATTCTTGGAAGATACAAAAATGAGTAACACAAAGCAATCGTTGAGGAAGCTAAGGATCACAAAACCTTAATAAAGGCTTTTTGATAATAACAATTTCTATCATACACACCCTAACTCAAAATTCTATCACCCAAAGATGATTCTTTTTAATGCTCGGGAAGATAAATACTAATAGTCATTTTATAGGACAGTAGGAAAAGCTGTCAGTTTTAAAACTTCACATATATATTCTGAGTCAGTAAAAGGATAAAAAAGTGGTAGTTCCAGGTGATAAAAACTTTTGACAAGGTCAACATACACTGACAAAAAATGGAGCTTCTAAGGACCTGGTAGGAAAGAAAAATCTGCCTTTCCCGGCTTAAAAAATAAACACAAAACTTTCATAGTTATGTGAAAACCTAACTGACCAAAGCAGAAACTGAAAGTAAAAATGTCTACAGCATAAATATGTACAATTTAATATTACTCAGCATTTCCAAGCCCTGAGAAGTGTTTTTTTTTTTTAAATAAATGCAACAATCTCACAACCTTAATTTCGAAAAACAGATCTGGCCTTAACACACACAAACTAACTTGCTTCAAGCTTCTTAAAGAGTCAGAAAAGCCTAGGTCTAGTGGAATCAGCGTGATGAGGAAACTCTTGAGAACCACTCTAAATTCTAGTTCCTATAAAATCAGACTCCACACTCTATCTGTGCATACCTGAGAATGCCTTAGCGCTTTCGCAGAAAGTATACATCCCAGCATGCCCTCCTACATCTCAAAGAAAAGGCTGCTCTATTTCCACGACTAAGAAACGGAAAACGAGGTTGTTTCCCTAGAAAGGGGAGCTGAAATTACGAAAGCCATTAAAGAATCTCTAGTTGCTTTTTCTTCCAGGCAACACGTTCACATTTTCTAAAAAGGCAGTCATACTCCTCACGAAATGATGAACGGGGGAGGGGGTGACCCCTGGACTTCTCCGGGTTAAAGGTCAGAGTCCCGGCCCCTGAGCCTTCTTCCTCAAGCACAAAGCGGAGCTTCTCACTTCCGCACCCAGTCAGGACCTAGTAGTGACTCAGCGGTAGGACCCGGCGCGCGTCTAGCTTGGGGAATCACTGCGGGCGGCCAGGGAGGGCAAGAGATCCCCAGGCCCGGCCAGACTCGGGTTCCTGGGGCGCCCCATGACACGGCAGAACCCAGGCCGGGACCGGGCCCCAGTCCTGCCCACCCATAACCCCGACCCCATTTCCCCCGACGCACAGACCTGTCGTACTCAGACCGGGTGAGGAACATGGTGAGGGCAGGAGAGGGTGGCAGCGGCTACGCGGGGTTTTTGAGGGCCAACACGAGTCAACCAGCACCCAACTCACCCACACCACCACAGAAGCGAGGCCCTGCTCCCAACTGCGCGTGCGCCCGCGACTTAGCCCGCCCTCCTGTGCCTGCCTCCTATTGGTTGGTCTTAGTTCCCGCCGAGGTGATTGGACCAACGTGCCGCCGTGCCTGGCCTGGGTTGGTTTCAGGGAGGGCGGGACGAAGGCCGTCGTTCTGCTTAAATCGCGGGTGGTTGCTAGTGCGCTCGGAGCCGAAGGTGCGTGGGGAGAGTTCTTTTAGACGAGGTATGAACTCCCCCTAAGATTGGCAATCGGGAGACCTTGTACGGAGAGTTGAGCTGTCTGAACTCTCTGGTTTGATAGGCTCCAGTAATCCGCGCCGGAGTACGTTGGTCCCATTTTTCTCCTCGCCGTGCACCCGCCCAGCCTTTCGCGGATTCCCGGCTCTTCCGGATCTGGTGCGGTCTCTCCAAGGAGCTGTGTGGTGCGCTCCAGGACTCGCCGTGGGCGGTGATGGGGGGCGCTACCGTGGGTGTGAGCGGGCGCTGTGGGCGAGTCCATTCGCTTCTGCCCACCCTACCGCGTGGTTCGTTTGAGAAAAGTTGGTGGGTTTTAGTCAGCGGGAAAAAGTCTCCAAGTTGCCGCCTGGTCAGGGTAATTTTACCTGCATTTCCTTCCACTCCTTGCCCTTCCCCCGCCCTCCCCAGTACAGGTTTTAGATCCGCTAACGCCGAGCCTTGGATCTGGGATTCGTATGGCTCACTGCTTTTTCTGTCATTCATGGAGAATTTAGCTGACGGTGCCGCCTTTTTGTGCTTCGTGCTCCCTGCTTCCCTTCCCTAAGGTAGGAGAACAACTTCACAGCTTCAGGAAAGGCTGTAAAATGAATTATTTGTTCAAGAAAGATAGCTAGTTAAGAAGCCATTGATAGGCAGTGTATGACTGAAAGGGAAATGCCAGGGTTTCATTCCAATCAGTATGATACCACTGGTCAAGTCTTAACTTCTCCAGGCCTCGTATATCTTAAGAAAAGTTCATATATGGTCCTAGGTTAGGTTTGTAAATGACCAAAGCATTTCAGTCGTGGAGGGAATGTAGAAATACGTCTTTCGGAAATTGAAATCTGTTTTTACCATCATTTATTTCCTACCTTCATAAATTCGGCAGGAATATCATTTTGTGGTTCCTAGCCAACCAGATGTTTGACACTAATAAAAACGAGAAGTTCCAAGTAGCAATCCTCAGGAATCTGTTAGATTTCTGAGAAAAGAACCTTGCATCCTTCCGGCCAACTAATGTGGTCTTTCTATTGAAAAATGCCAGTTAAATTCACTGTGCCTGCTCTTTCAAGGTTATTTTGAAATTAATATATAGTAACTATATACCTACATAGGTATCACATATAAACCCATATAGGTACTTGAGCATAATAGTATTTCCTGAACACTCAGGGATGCAAGGTGCTCTGCAGCCCCTACTAATATCAGGTATGGCAGTGAATGTTTCAAAAAATCACTTGAATGTGGAATCTCCTCTGGGTAAGTGTGTTTGTGCCCCATATACCATAAATGAAGGGGAGCCAGTAGCTGATGGTGGCTAATAAGGGAAATCTTACTTTCTCCCAAGAAAATGGGTCCTCATGGTATTAAAAATCCAGCACCTGTTATATAGTTTCTTGCCTATGATCAATTCAATAAATGTTTCATTAAAAAGTTGAACCAAGTGTCCCTCTGAGAAAAATGATAAAGGAGCCACAGAAGACAAAAAAGAAATGAATGTAATAAAACATGAGAAAATGAGCTACATTCAGAAACCGAGAAAGGTATCTAAAACATATTGGGGAGCTCGGCACATTGGTCCTGAAGCAAAATGAACTGTGGCAGAATAGTCCCGGGTGGACTGGAGATAATACTATCCAAATGAAGAAACCAGTAAGAACTGATCCCCAAACTGAATTCTTTATGTACCTGAAATTGCCTAATTTGTAAATGTTTCTAACTATACATAAACTAGAAAATGTTACTTTTTTAAAAAGACACCTGAAAATGTGTATAACTGTCCCCATGACTTATAAAGAGAAATACAAAAGGGATCAGGAATTGTTTCAAAAACTAACCACAAAAGAGAGCACCTTGTACTTTGAGTGGTGGCAGCAAAAGGAGGGAACTGGCATCTGGGGAGCTACTGGGAGGCTACAGACACTAGCTTAAAGTAATTTTAAAAGCCTCATGGTATCTCTTTGAAAGAAATAAAATGAGAGATTAGCTACTTTAAAGTAATTGAGAATAAACAAAATGTACTATATACATAGAACAGGTATTACTTTAGCCTTAAAAAGGAATGAAATTTTGATACATACTACAACTAGGATGGAGATTGAAGACATTATGCTAAGTGAAATAAGCCAAACATGAAAGGACAAACATTGTGTTATTGTACTTATATAAGGTACCTAGAATAGTAAAATTCCTAGACACACAAAGTAGACTAGTGGTTGCCTGGGGCAGGGGAAGAAGGGGCTGAGGAATTATTGTTTAATAGGTACAGAATTTCAGTGCGGGATGATGAAAAATTTCTGGGGATGGATTGTGTATGATGATTGTACAATAGTGTGAATGTACTTGATGCCACTGAACTGTACAGTTAAAAATGGTAAATTTTACATATATTTTACCACAATAAAAATACTTTTTTTTTAAAAGGAAACTAATTGAAATGTGAGTTCTTTGAGCACCAGTACTGTGTCTTACTCAGCCTAATACCTCGCATATAGTAGATGCTCTAGATTGTTGAGTAAATAGACAATTATTGATTGATTACTATAAACATACTAGTTATATAGAGGTTAATATATGTGTCACTTGGAGAATTAAATAGAAAATTCAGTATTTCAGATTGCCACTCTTTAAAATTTAATTTAACACTAATTTTTCTTTTTTTTTTTCTTAATTTCCTTTGTGGAGTTTGATTGGTTGGTTGGTTTGGGTTTTTTTTATAAACTTGACAAGAGTTTGTCGGTCACAACTCTTTTAGGTGACATACTGAGAGATGAGAAAGACTGTTTCTTCCCAGAGAAATGCAAATCACTTGGACATTAATGAAAGTTATGTATTCACCCACAGAATGAGAGCTCTCAGATATTTTGGTACTTTTTTGCACATACAAAAATGACCCCCTAATTAAAAGCTGCTGTAATCATTTTAAGAGATGAAACACAGAGGTCTTAACTATATTACAATTAAGTATCTATAGATTAGAAGCCTTGTCATTCCACTGCAAGTAAATGAAATAGTTTGGCAAAGTTAATAACCCAACAAGTATTGAAAATACTCAGATTTGTTAGTAAATATCCTGTATTATTACTTTGTGTCAGACATTCCTGGGTGAATGACAGAAAATATATGTATGTGGAGAATTTTGTAAGCGATTTCAAATCAATCTATAATCGAGGTCCCTTTGCTCTTCCTAGATATCATGTTCCCCAAATCCATCTATCTACTTTTATCTCTAGTAGCTACAATTTGTTATTTACATAAAGAGACATTTTAGATTTGGCTGCTTCACCTTATAATTTTTTTTTTCTTCAGTCATTTTGTAAGAATATTTTAAAATAAGCAAAAATTTTTCACCAAGGATATTAAGAGGTTTAACAAGTTTTGATTCTTGCAGGCCCCTTAAGAAATAATAATTGGCCAGTCCTGGCCAACTACTGAGCATGGCAGGAATACTAATGCAGTGTCATTGTTGGAATATATGGGACTCCTCCAATGGGCAGCATTGGCTTGAGGACCACCCATCATCCTAGCTGAAACTCTTAGAACTGTGCTGCAGTCTGAGACACTGCCTACTCAGTCCTTTCTTTTCCCTTGCCTTCATAGGTGTCAGTTCTGTATCAGGATTTACACAATTTTCTACGTTCTCCTGCTCCCTCCCTTTTATCTTTCAGACATTTCCCCTAAGAAATCTTCTGCCTGTTGTCATGGGCTGACTTGTGTTCTCCCCAAAATTCATATGTTGAAGCCCTAAACACCCAGTAACTCAGAATGTGGTTGTATTTGGATGTAGGTCCAAATACAGTTAAAATTAAGTTAAAATGAAGCTGTTAGGATGAACCCTAGTCCAATCTGACTGGTGTCCTTATAAGAAGAGGAAATTGGACTCAGAGAGACTCTGGGGGCATGGTGCAGAGGAAGGCTATGTGAGGACACAGCAAGAAGCTGGCCGTCTGCAAGCCAAGGGAGAAGCCTCAGAAGAAACCAAACCTGTTCACCTCGTGGTCTTGGACTTCTTGGCTCCAGAACTGTAAAGAAATTTCTGTTGTTTAAGCCACCCAGTCCATGATATTTTGTTATGGCAGCCCTAGCTAATATACCTGCCAAATCCCACCTTGGCAACTGCTCAGAGGATCCAAACTAACACAAGTGGTACCAGGAGAGGTCAAAAAACAAAAACAAAAGCTAGATAATAAAATGAGGTTTCAGGACCAGCTCACTCACTACCTGGTGGGCAAAGACAGTATTATCCTGAGTAGTATAGGGGCATGGGTAGTCCCAGCACAAGGTGGTGATCCAGCTGCTAAAGATTTCATCAGCAGTGACCTGGGAAAGCATCCCAATGGAGGAGAAAGAAGAATACAATTTCAGGCATTTGAAATACATGGGCGTGGGGGTGGGCAATGCCTACAAGGACAGTGGAATTGGCTGGTTACTGCTAAGTTGTATTGATACTCAGGAGGGATAAGGAAAAAGCAAAGGTCTCCCTTGGTTAATGGCCAAGTATGAGAGACAGAGGACCTCTTTTGTAACTTACAAAGAGGATTTTATCTCCTGCAATGGAAGAGCTGACACAGCTATGCCACAGACTTAGGACATGGTAGTTAGCGGCACAGAGCCCCAGAGACATTAAAATGTGTGGCCAAAGCAGGTTAGGGCCCTGGTTGAGGAAACCTGAAACCCTGAAACAAGGGATGGGACATCTGGATGCACAACTGTAAGGAGGTTAGCTCTGCAGACCCTTGTGGACTTTCAAAGCTTGCAGAGATGGTCTACCTCTTCATACTAAGAACTAGTATTTCTCCCGTGCTGAAAGACACTGCAGAGCCACTCCTCCCCTGGCTGCCATGCTAATAACTAGAGTCAACTCCTAGCATAACCCAGCTGAAAACATGCCTGACCTGATAAAGGAGGAAAGAGATCATATACAAAGAAGCTGTAAGAATTAGCTAGCATACACAAAGAAGTCAGGGGAGTACCCTGCAATTGAGTTTTGAGGTTGCTTGATCATGGGGGCTGGAATATTAGATTAGATAATCAAGAATTTATTGACTTAGGAACACTTTCTTGAGTCAGGATTTAACACACTGGCAAGGACTCTTGGGGATAAAATGACTCACTGTTGGGGGGGATGCTCTTAGAAACCTAGAGAAAGTGATGGCCAATGCTGAGCAAAGTAGAAACGTTAGGGTTGCCAGGGCATATATGGTAGAATGAATTAAAAGACTGGGGGAATTAGGCATGCTGGAATGGATATGTGTGAGGCCAGAAGACCCATCAGAGGATTATGTTTCATAGGAGAGCCCAGGAGATACACCAGAAGGCCATTAGAAATCCTCTAGTAAGGGGCAGCAACATCAAGAAGTTCTCTACAGTCCTGAGCTAATAATAGTAGTCACAGAGTTAGGGTTCATTAATAACTATGGGAATAAAATTCCCCTTCCCCAAGTAGCAGAGCCAAATGGTGGCACTTGGTCACTAGAAGCCAGGAGGCTACAATTATAAAGACCAACAACATCTGATGAGTGGCAGCCAAAGGGGCTTACAGGGAGTTGTGGAGATGGATGTAGAGGTTGGCATCTGTAGGGGTGAAATAGATGGGAAACCTATTAACATCTATAACCCCAAGAAAAGGCCAAAACGGAGGAGCAGGATACTGAGGTTGATTTCACCCAAAAAGTCATTATCCCTTGTTCAGTGTCCCAATCTGAGCCATTTTTCAGATCTGAAACTCATTGACTTAGAGGTGGCAGATCGTGCTTCAGTGCAGCAAGTATAAATGTAATGATTCCCTGGTCCTTTCCCAAAGATACCTATGGCCATTTACTTCAGTGATTACACAGTGGGGAAGAGGAGTAACCAGAAAAAGTGAGAACTATTGGACTCAGGGTCTGAGTTGACATCAAATATCCTGAGACCCAAAGCATTGTCATGGCTTCTTGTTAGAATGGAGGCAAATGGGGACCAGGTAATAAGGCATAACTGTAAACTGTAAAAGCCTAGTTTACAGTAGGTCCATTGTGTCTGTGGACCCACCCAGTGGTCATTTCTCCAGTTCCTGAGTATGTAATTGGAATTCATACACTTAGCAGCTGCGGTAATACCAACGTTAAATCCTTGACCTGTGTGAAGTGAGAGCTATCAGTGGGGAAAGCCAAGTGGAAACATCTGAAAATGACCTTCCACCCTGGCCAACATAGTAAATTAAAAAACAAACGAAAATATCACATACTGGGGGGCCTGGTGGAAATTAGTGCTACCATTAAAGACCTAAAGAATGTGGGGAAATGAAAGATGGTCCCTATCGGGGCGCCTGGGTGGCTCAGTCGGTTGAGCGTCTGCCTTCACCTCAGGTCATGATCCCGGGGTCCTGGGATCAAGTCCCGTGTTGGGTTCCCTGCTTGTCAGGGAGCCTGCTTCTCCCTCCCCAACCACCCCCCACCCCGCTTGTGCTCTCTCTCGCTGTCTCTCTCTCAAATAAATAAAATCTTTTAAAAAAAGAAAGATGGTGCCTATCATATCTCCATTTAATTAGCCTGTCTGGCCCCTGCATAAACTAGGTGGATTCCAGAGAATGACTGTAGACTACCATAGGCTTCAGCAAGTAACAGCCCCAATTGCACATGCTGTGCTTGATATGGTCTTATTGCTGGAGCAGATTAATAAGGCATCAGGACAAGATGAGTGGCCAGTGATTTGTTCAATGAATTATTTTCCATTCTGATTAGGAGAGAGCATCAGAAATGATTCACATACATGTGGGACAGATAACTATTCACTTACAGTTTTGTCTCAAGATTGGTTAGCTCTGCCTTCTGTCATAATAAAGCCCAAAGAAATCTGAATCTCCTAAACATCTCAGAATATCACTTTGGCCCACTGCATCAACGATTTTATGCTGCTCAGATGGCACAAGCAAGGGGTGGCTAGTATGCTGGAGGCATTGGTAAGACCATGCTCCAGAGAGTAGAAGAAAAATGCTCTAAAGATTCAAGGACTTGCCACTTTCGTGAAGTTTTTAAGGGTCAGCTGGTCACATGTGTATCAGTATAGCCTTCCAAAGTCAAAGACAAATTGTTACATCTTGCATCCCCTACCACAAAGAAGAATGCACAGGGCTTGGTATGTCTCTCTATGTTCTGGAGCAACACATAGCACACTTAGGAATACTGCTCCAGCCCATTTACCAGGTGACATTGAAGATTTCCAGCTTTGGGGCCCAGACCAGGTAAAGTGCAGGTTACAGTACAAGCATCTCTGCCACTTTGGCCATATATTTCAGGAAAATCCTCGAGGTGTTAGGGTAAGAAAAGAAGCAGTTTGGAGCTTGTGATGGTTAATTTTATGTCAACTTGATGGGGCCATGGGATACCCAGGTATTTGGTCAAACATTATTCTGGGTATGTTTGTGGGTGTGTTTCTGAATCAGAAAAACATTGGATTGATGGAATGAGTAAAGCGGATTGATGGAGTGAGTAAAGCAGATTGCCATCCCTAATGTCAGTGGGCCTCATTCAATCAATTGAAGACGTGAATAGAACAAAAAGACTGAGTAAAAGGGAATTCCTGCTTGATTGTATAGCTAGGATGCTGGTCTTTCCCAGCCTTCAGGCTCGGACTGAAACATCAGCTCTTCTTGGATCTTGAACCTGCCAACTTTCAGACTGGAACTTATGTCATTGGCCCTCACTGGCCCTCCTGGTTCTCAGGCCTTTGGATTCAGACTGGAACTACACATCAGCTCTCCTGGGTCTCCAGCTTGATTACTGCAGATCTTGGGACTTCTCGGCTTCCATAATCATGTGAGTCAATTCTTTATAATAAATCAATAGCTATAGCTATATAATCTATACTTACACCTACATCTGTATAACTATAATGGTTCTGTTTCTCTGGAGATCCCTGGCTAATACAGATCTTAACACCCACAGTGGAATGCAGCTGAAACAAATAACTCAAAATATGGAAGCAGCTTTAGAACTCGATAATGGGTGGAGTTGGAAGAGTTTTAAAGTACATGCTAGAAATATGGACATTAAGGGCAATTCTGGTGAGATATCAGGTAGAAATAAGAAACTGACGGAAAGGTGAACCTTGTTATAAAGTGGCAAAAAAACTTGGCTGTACTGTATTCTAGTGTTTTGTGGAAGGTAGAATTTGTGAGCGATAAAACTGAATATTTAGCTGAGGAGATTTCTAAGCAAAGTGTTGAAGGAGGGGCTTGGTTCCTCCTGATTGCTTATAGTAAAACGCAAAAGGAGAGAGATGAGTTGAAGAAGGAATTGTTAAGCAAAAAGGAACCAGAACTTGATGATTTAGAAAATTCTCAGCTTGCAAAAAAATTCTCATATTGCAAAAAAATGAGAAAGCATGTTCTAAAGAGAACACCAATGGCACAACTAGATTATCATTGATAGAGTTTATGGCATTATAGGAGCAGAAACACAGCCAATTTGAACTGAAGGGGATGGAGATGGGACCAAATGAAGGAAGGCTGTTGGACTTAACTGAATTTGACAGGACAGAATGATAGAGCTATTTGGCTGCGAACATGCAAGAAGAGGGAAAAATGACCCTGGAAGTGAGGGGCGCCTGGGTGGCTCAGTCGGTTAAGGGCTGCCTTCGGCTCAGGTCATGATCCCTGGGTCC